TTTATTACAGTTTTAGCCGTATTTTGGTAAATCTCAATTGAATCTCATCGATTTCAATTGATTTTAAAAGGAATTTGAATTAAATTTCAATTGATTCTAATGTGATTTTAATTCGATTTCAATTGATTCAAAAGGAATTTTATTAGATGTTAATTGATTCTAACGGGATTTTAGTTCGATTTCAATTGATTCTAAAAGGAGTTTTTTTTTTTTGAATTTCAATTGATTCTAGCGGGATTTTGATTCGATTTTAATTGATTCTAAAAAGAGGTTTTAATTAAATTTCAATTGATTCTAACGGGATTTTATTCGATTTTAATTGATTTTAAAAGGAATTTTAATTTCAATTGATTCGAATGTGATTTTAATTCGATTTTAATTGATTCAAAAGGCATTATAATTAAACTTTACTTGATTCTAACGGGATTTTAACCTACTTACTAAGTCTCCCTGACCCTCTAAGTAGGTTTAGGACATCGGAGAATTTCAGGGGCTGGCAGGTAGAGACCGGAAGAAGGAGGAAGAGTGATCTTCTTGCGTCCCGGAGGCTCATACGATTCCTCACCCCTAAACCCTAAACCCCTAAACCCTGAACCCTGAACCCTGAACCCTTCATCATTGTAGTATTCTACCCAAGGTGTTTATTCTACATAATTCGATTTTAATTGATTTTCAAAGGAATTTAAAGGCGGCCCTACCAAATCCTTTCAATAAATATGCCCCCCTAATAATAAGCAATTTCTGACCACACGGATTATTTATTATTTTACGGGGGGAAGGGGGGGGGGGACGTCGTTTATTATTAGGGGGAAGGGATTAGTCATATGTAGAAAGAGACAGCCAGAGAGATATAAGCATATATATATATATATCTATATATATATATGCACATGTATATATATATATATGTACTGTTAGTTTTCCCCATGCAGACGTAGGTGCATATAGAGAATGTGTAAGGCCTGAAGAAGCACACAACACAGAAGCAATGTCCATGGCTGGCTTCATTCGTCCGAGATTGCTTCCGCAACTTTCTCCCTGAAATCTCAACTCCTAAGCCTAAAGCCCTCAACCTCCACCCTTCTAAGGTACCCTATTCCCTGATAAGCGCATAGGTAAGTGACCCAAAGTCCTAAGGCCGCGCGGTGTACCAGGCGATTAAGAAGAAGGCAAAGGGCCCCCACTGCGGAGACTGCGGCATGGCGCAGGGCTCAGAGGACTTTTGGCTCTATACGAGCTATAGGCTAAACTCCTTAAAGGGGAGTATATAGGGGATTGTATGGGGGGGTTTTACAGGGCTATTAAGGGGCATGCTAGGAGTTTAGACTGTAGCAGCACATATGGGTTTTAGGGTTTAGGGTTTAGGTTTAGGTTGCAGGCTTACGGATATGGGATTTAAGGTTTAAGTGGGTTTAGGTTTTAGGCTGCAGGCTTACGGTTTAGGCGTTGGGCTTAGACTTTAGGCTCAGGGTTTGGGGGTTCAGGACTTATATGGTTGCATTTGGGACTCATTCATGCGGCGCTAGGCTTTGGGGATTCAAAGTTGGGGTAGGGCACATAGTAGTGTTGTAAAATACGAACAATTATGATGTGGGGGGTTGCATAGGGAGTACTTTAGGGATCCGTTCCATACCTCAAGCCCTATAACCTAGACCTTCCATTTCAGTTCCACTGATTCATTCCCTCCTAACAACCAGTAAGTTCATGATTTTGGTGGCGGTATAGGATGTTAGGCTTCGGGTTTAGGGTCGCAGCTCTTTTGGAGAGCCCGAGCGTCAACGTAATCTTGAGTTCAGCTTCCGCAGATCTAGCCAGACAACTTTTTAATTTCGCTGGAATCCTCCCATGGTGTTCTTTAGTAGAGGGCGCTTGCGATGGTGTGGCACTTCTGTGTGGGATGGCTCGGAAACGTCTATTTATCGGCTCAACTCGGTTGCTACTTGAACTAGGGTCCAAGTCCTGGCCAAGCTAGATCACAGGGTTGGGGTAGCTGCTGTTTTAGAACTGATGGGAGCGCACTGACGCATAAGCGTTGTGCGCATTTGCACTCGCTCACACATGAATACAGTACTGTGTGAACACAAGTGTTGCTTTCGAGTCCTAGACCTAAACCCTAAACCCAAAGCGTTCAGTTTAAGGGTCCCAGATGAAGCCATGGCTGGGCAGCATACCCAAACTTGTCGAAGGGCTGCACTGGCGAACACAGGCCACGCTGTCCCCCTGCAGCTGCGAATCATGAGCTGCTGAATTGTCAGCTGCGATCCATGGACCTCAGCAGTCTCTATGATGCTTTAGGTGTATCGGCCAATGCAGAGGATGCTGACATCCGTTCTGCATACAGGCGGAAAGCTCTTGCGACACATCCCGACAAGGGAGGCAGCCCGGAATCGTTCCGCCTCGTTGTTACTGGGTTGCCATTCCGGAACTTAAACGAAACCACTATAATGATAAGGAAGCCCTGTTGTTTATTTACTATATACCCATCTTCTGTCAAGTTAATTTGAATTCCTGAACATCAACATACAGCAGCCCAGGTTACAGCTTTTGAGATTCTGAGTGATCCTGTGCGCCGTGCAGCTCATGACCAAGAGCTTGCGCGAGCCTCACAGAGAAAGCCCTTTGCTGCTGAGGCCGACCATTGCAAGGCGAGTAAGAGATGCCGGGAAGCAGGCCAAAAGGGCCCTGATTCCAAACGCCCTCGAGCTCAGCAAGCTGCCAGGGCTAAGCAGGAGGAAGCCTCTGCCGCTACTGATCATCAGAAGCTACATGCCCTGGTGAAGGATTTGCTAAGGCTTTCTAGACGCGACCTGCGAGCGAGGCTTCAAAAGATGTCGGATGAGGCACTCCGAGACTTGCTTAAGTCTCTTGATGTGACATCCACAGGCGTGTTGCTGGGTTGCTGTTAAGGAACTTAAATTAAGTTACCATAATGGGTATATACAGTAAACAGTAGGGTTTCCCCAATATGGTAACTTAATTTAAGTTCCTTAACAGCAACCCAGGTTGGTAGAAGCCGTCGATGGGCAGAGTGAGGGGGAGAGCTCAGCGTCAGTTTGTGGGGACGACGTGGACGAGGTGCACCCCAAGGAGAACATGCTGGCCCTGTGTCAAGAAGCAGACGTGGAAGAGCCTTGCGAAGAAGCGGAGGTTGAAGAGGCAGACGAGGAGAAGGAAACAGTGGAAACAGGATGCCGCAAAGGAGTACCTGAAGGGAAGCTCGCCAGAGGGATTTCCCGATGCAGGTACACTCACACTAACAAGTTGTACTACGAAGCCATGGTGGGTTTCGAGGGAATCGTAGCATCTGGGTTGCTGTTAAGGAACTTAAATTCAGTTACTATAACAAGGAGACCCTGCTATCTATTTACGATATACCCATATTATGGTAACTTCACTTGAGGTCCATAACAGCAGCTCAGGCATTCAGCTCTAGAAGTGTAGACTTTGACAGAGTGGTGGACCAGCACATACGTATGGTGCAGATGCGTCAGCGCGTGCACAAGGAGCTTGTCGGGGTTGGCTGTTAAAGAACTTAAGGTAAACGGGTTTAGGGTTAGGGGTTTGGGTTTAGGGTTTTAGGGCATAGGGCTTCAGGTAAACTACCTGAACGTGGGTCTATGTACAGGATTGTTCTACAATGTTAGTTTTCGTTGTAAGTTTTACTAGTTAGTTCCGCGGTGTCCTTACAAGATAATGTAGCTTACTTTCAGCTTCTTAACAGCGACCCAGACAAGGAGCTTGAGGCCGGGACTTCGTTCGGTCAGGCACTCCGCAAGTCTGTCGACCAGATGCACCAGGAAAGGACAGCAGCGGGTGCCCCTGAGTTCAAGCTGAGGTCATTGTTTCAAAAAGGGGTTGTTTCTATTCTAGTACTAAATGCTTTTTTACTATTTATGAGTGTAACTACTAAAGTACTACGAGTAATAGTACTGTTCATGCTGATACTAACAACGTCAACGCTACTGCTACTGCGAATATAGATACGATCACCCGAAGCAGAGGTCTCCTTGCCTGGGTTGCTTTTAAGGAGCTTAAATTAAGTTACTATCATAAGGAGAGCTTATTATCAGCTATATGCCACATATGCCCATATTATGCTAGCTTAATTTAACTTCGAGCCTGTCAGGTTTCGCTGTATTCGCGTAGCAGATAGTCGGCGGTTTGGACTGGAAGAGGCCGTGGAGATCTGGCATGCTCTGCAGGAGACTGTACGAAACATTGTGGTAGGAGGTTTTAGGGTTTAGGGTTTAGTGCTAAGGCTTGTGTCATGGGTCCTAGGCAAACAAGAAGCAATGAGACAGAGCTTCCCCAATTGAAAACAGGGCATCCTTTGCTTACACCGCTACGAGGAGCAAGGTGAAGGGCCTTGTGTAAGGTAAGCATTATGGATTTGGTAAGGATAGAGAAACCCTAAATAGAAGTTTCCATGTTCTTTTCCATTATCCCTATAGAATCCCAACATAACCCTATAACCCCTATATAGGCATAGATACCATGCAACCGGAGTTGTCATTGTGCGTGCTCTCGAAAACAGCCTCACTGGCCGCCGCACTTGACTAGTGGCTCGTGACATCGAATGGTGTCAACGCTTGAAAAGCCATCATCGTCGCCACCACCATCATCATCCTCATCCTCCGCCTCCTCCTCATCATCTCCTTCCAGCATCATCATTCATCTACATCAGAACTGTTTGTTCGCTTCAAGCTTTAAACCCGAAACGGGCGGTTATGGTCATTACAGCTTGAAGGAGTCGCTTGCCATGGCCAGAGAAGATCGCCGACACAGACGGCAACTGGATCGCACGTCGGAGGTTTCTCATTGGCGGCCTTACTGGTTATCCTCCCCAAGAGATAGCTTAAAGTACAGTATAGGTACTTTTGATCGACCTTCAGGCCCAACGTAAGTTTTTTTGCAGACTTAGGCTTCAAAAAAATGAACGGGGATTTTTGGGCCGTGATATGGCCGGTGTTAGCTCTTTCTGTGAGTGGAAACTCTCAACCCTAATCCTTGAGCCCTAAACCCTAAACTTTAAACCCTCTAGTACCCGGACCTTAAACCCTAAACAACAAACCCTGAACCCAAAACCTCAAACCCTAACCCTAAACCTTGAATGCAGGCAAAGGCTGCAGGATGCTGTGCCGAGACAAGGAGAAACCCCGGAGCTCCTGGGCTAAGGGTTTAGGGTTTAGCGTGCAGGATTTTGGGTTTAGGGTTTAGGTTTTAAGGGTTTAGGGTTTAGGATATATCCCTATATATATATATATTTCGGTCTAGGGTTCAGGGTTTAAGGGTTTAGGGTTTGGGCTTGGGGCTGTTTTGATTCTGGGTGTTGACAATAGGATCCTAATGGTTTAGGGGTTTAGGTTGGAGTTTTCCAAGATTTGGGGAGTCCCCCGAATTTGGATCCTAAACCCTAAATAGTCGGGTGAAGGGGGATACTGGGGTTTAGATTATGGTCCAAACAGTTAATGACCAGCATTATGATATTAGAATCCTTGTATGACTATGGTATAGGATATCTTAAATAGATCTCGCATGGATAATGATAATGATTCAGGCCTGTGTCTGGACCCATTCCCCCGTTTTCTGAGGGAGTGCTGCAAAACAGCATCATGGATTGCTTGGTTTCAGTTTCTAAGTTCCGGGACTCAAGATTGCATGACACAAGTCACGACACTAGGGACATCCAGGGACCTCGGTTATTTGGAGAACCTAGATGCTCGTTTCTCTCTGTATTTGGAAGTGCCTAGTCAAAAGTAGTACAGGGGCCTAAATAGTTAGTGATACTGCTGTCCTAGGTCTATTCAATCGTTATATTCTAGGGCACATCAACAAACAGATGTCAAACTGATATTGGTGAGCATGTAGGTCCCTACATAACATGAATCCCCTTATACCACTACGTATGCCCAGCTTCCGCTTAATTGTCCATCGGCTTTTCCATCTGATTCTCCTTTCTTGGGGTAATATCCCCCTAAACCCTATACTGTCTTTAATATTTATACATAGACGGACGTCCTTGGTCAGAAGTAGCATTTCCATGGGCTGGAAACCACAGGCAGCGGAGACAGGCTAGAGTGGAGAAGGAGCGGATTCTGCAGCAAAAGAGGGAGGAACAGCAACTGGGTTGCTGTTAAGGAACTTGAATTGAGTTACCATATAATGGGTCTATAGAATAGATAATATTTAGCTAAGTTACCATATAACGAGTTTATAGAATAGAGAATATTGAATTTAAGTACCATAGTGGATCTATAGAATCAATGATATTGAATCAAAGTACCATAGTGGGTCTATAGAATAGATAATATTGAAGAATAGATTATATCGAATTAAGATACCATAATGGGTCTATAGAATAAATAATATGGCTCCCCTAATGTAGTAACTTAAATTCAGTTCCTTAACAGCCACGCAGGCAAAGGAAGCAACGGCTTCGCCAGTACAAGAGGCCGGGGTTGGTGGGAACTGGGGATTTTTTGTATGTGCAGTTGGTTTTGTTTAGGGTTTAGGGTTTAGGGTATGTCTCTTCAATCCGGGGCCATGCGGTATGCCTTTTAGAGTTGCGAATTGTTGCCGGGGTCCTTCAGTGGCCTCCCTTGCAGTACCTGCAAATTTTACATTTGTTCGAACTTCCAAGGTGAAATCTGACAGAAGGGTGCAAATACGTCTCATGACCATTATCATTACCATTCCTGCTGTTGCCTTAAAGTAATACTATCACTAATGTTGCTATAAGTACTAGCCCCTCCCACCCAAAGTCATAAACCCCCAGCCTCTAATTGACTAGTTTGTAGTCGGGAATGAGGGAGCATAGTCCCTCTTTATCATACTCCCATATTCCCTACTAAGAACCAGTAAGCTAAACGGTTTAGGGTTTAGGCTTCGAAGAGTCCTGCGTGTTAGGTGGCAGCGGGAGGAAAAGCGCCAGCAGAAAAAGGTGGCCAAAGTGGAGGGCCTGCGCGATGCCGTGCAGGAGGAGCATTAGGGCTTGGGAGGTTTAGGGTTTCAGGCTTGGGAGGTTTAGGGTTTAGGGCTTGGGAGGTTTAGGGTTTAGGGCTTGGGAGGTTTAGGGTTTCAGGCGTGGGGAAGGGACCGCAGTGACAAAGTAGGGGACCTTGCGGTTTGTCCAGAAGAGCAGCTATATAGATGCAAGGGCCCAAGGCCGAAGAAGATGGCGATTGTAGAGGATGTAAAGATGCAAAAGAGACGAACCCTAACCCCTAAACCTGAAACTTTTGGACCATGGTATGAGTAACGGTGCATCGGAAGAAGTTGCTCTCCACTCGAAGTCCACAGCATCTGAGCAGGGATGCGCAGCGAATCTGCCAAACTCTTCGCGAACGCGGCGACGGAATTCCCTTGGAGGCCCTTAAGAAACCCCTATGAGTTTCCAAAAATTAGCGGCTTCCTTATAGGGGATATAGGATCACCAGGTGCTCAGGGATAAGCCCACATTTTGGACCGAGCTCTGTTTTGAACCCTCCTCCTTAATGTACAAGCCAATTAGTTACGAATACTGTGGTCCTAGGCTCCTTACATAAAACAAGGATCCTATACACCATTGTTGTATAATTATGGTACATTAAATCGACGACAAAATTGTGTTGGCAACATCTGGGGACCCCCTGCTTTACACAATAAGCCTGCGAGCTGCCACATCTGTAATTGCCATTTCGGAGACGAGCATTCCAAAAGGCAGCGCAATCCGCTCCACCAACGATCCCGTAGTTTCCCCATTGTAGTAATGCTGTCATGTGTGCGGGTCGATCCGAAAACCCTAAGCCCGCACTCAACACATCCTGGGTTGCTGTTAAGGAACTTAAACTAAGTTACCATAATGGGTATATAGTAAATAAAAGGGGTTTCCCCAATATAGTAACTTAATTTAAGTTCCTTAACAGCAACCCAGCATCTTCAATGCGCATCTTTCTCCTGAAGGGCTCATAGGCTCAAAAACCCTAAGCCTGGGTAGGCCCTTGAAATATTTGATATTTTCCCTAATGGCTTTAATAAGGGACCCTATATATTACTATTTTTCAAAGGGCTTGAGGGGCCAACCCAG